ATGCCTTTGGAACTGTGGGTGCCATTAGAAATGAACAGAATCAGAAGGTTGTGTTTTGTTCTAGGTAAGTGGGCTAATCAATTTGTCATGACAACTAAGGATCCGTCAAGAGAGAATAACAAATGATTCTGCTTTATTACAAGCTGTTCTTCGAAGATATCTGTGCAAATGGACATCGACAGAGTGCTCGCTAAAAGGACTGGTCAAATTGGCTTGACATGGCATGGTCACCAGAAGTCTGGCGAATTGCATTGCCTTAGTTCGGATCTCAATTGTGCTGTGACAAAGTCACCAGAAGTCTGGCGAATGGCATTGCCTTTGTTCGGATCTCAATTGTGCTGTGACAAAGACATGGAGCTGCACTTGCTATGTTTCTGTTGGAGTCGTCATGGTCCCAGGGTTCCTCTCTGTGGCTCTGCCAGTCATTGATTTGCTGGTCTGGTCTTGTGGTGCAAGCCATGTGAAGAAGCTTCTTATGAAATGCATGCTTTAAGATTTATATCACTAGATATTTGCGAAAACACAACAAAAACAAGAAACTTTTGAGGTTTGATTTGTTCCACGTATTGGGTCCAAAAACATGCCAAAGCTTCGTGGGATGAAGAGGCTTCCTTGCCTTTTGTTTTTGTCCGCGAGTGTTTGAGTCATTTTATACACTGGCGGAACCACAATAAAGATTAGGGAGCAATTGCCTCTTTAATCTTTTTTTTAATATTTTTATTTTAAAATTTTAATATAATAACTTAATAAATTTAATTTTTTTTATTAACTACTACTTGATGCAAGCTTTTCTTCTTTTTTTTCTTGAATTATTATTCCTATCTCTCCTTTTTCTATAAAACTTCTCTTCAAGTCCTAAATTATTAATTACTTCAGTAATATAAATAACTTTTATATATTATATTTTATATTTTAGGTGAGTTTCCTTTATTTTTTAATTTATTCAATTGTCTAATTTTAATTTTACTCCTTAATAATTAGTTATTAAAAATATTAAAGTTTATGATAATTTATAGATTTGTTAAATTAATATATGTATGAACAATATTATATGCATATGAATATGAATTGAAATGAGTTTTGATAAATTAATATATATTTTGTTATGAATTTCATATGAAAAATTATGGTGATCAACTTATTAGTGATTAGAAATAAAATACTGAACAATTCAAAAAATTAAAAACAATAAAAAATATTTATATTTATATTTAACCTACTTGTACAAAACAACAAGTTAACAAAGAATTGTTATCAATAATTTCAATAATCCTTGAAAAATTTAGAAATAGATAAATGAAAATTTAATTGTATATATTGAGAAAGAATATATTTAACAAAATTAATAATAAAGTCATTATGAAACAGTTTTAAAATATAAAAACTTGAAAAAAATAATTATAATATAAGATTTTTTCACTTTAAAAATATTTTTAAATTAATTTTGTTTAACATGAGTTCATACATGTATTTCAAATTGATTTCTCTAAATATAACACATGTCTATATAATATATAATATAAAGCATTTATTAATAACTCTTCCTCTTATTTAAATATTTTTGGCTCCACCACTAACTTCAATTTCTTGTGCTTAAAGTTAATAACTATATAAATTTTTAATAATTTTAAAATTAATAATAATCTCTAAAAAAATAAATTCAAAATCTAAAAAGCTATCTCTTCCCCCCACTCGTGCTGGGACCAGGGAGCAGGATGGTGATAATCTCTAGGATTGCTGGGCAATTTCTTTTCGAGCCCTCGTTCTTCTCCCGTTTAGATCACATTCAACTGAATGTGTTGATTGTATGATCTGCTGGCTTTGATAGGCCATTTGAGTTTTTCATGAGAGGCCCAGGATGCATTGCAAATATAATTAAGAATTACCACTACAACCACCCAATTTCCCAAGATCGCATGAATTATGATAAGACATTCTTGATGGGCTTAGCTACAGCACAAAAAAAGAACACAATGCGAAGGATTGCACATATGACAACCTTTTTCTTTTTGTTTTTTAAGAGCATGTTACAAGTCGAATTGGAATGGGGAGCAAATACTACTTGTATAAATGTAATTAATATTCTGAAATAGAGGAGATTAATGATTCTGACAAATTTAAACTAGCTTTTTACTATCTATAAGGTATTTAGAAGCCATGGTCTTGTATTAACATCAAGATTTCATGAGAAATTTAGAAAATGAGGGAATAACATAAAGAATATGTAGATGTTTTGTGTTCTAGATTTGAGAGTCAGTAGTACTCATTGGAAAAACTTGTGGATCTGAGATAAGCAGAAAGCCCGGAAGTCTATATAAAGAATTTTGATATATTATAGAATAGAGATAAATTAGAAAGAAGCAAGCTATGGTACTTTTCATAGTAGGGTTAGAGGTTGACATAAAATTTTTTATCAAAATTGATTCCAAGGTATTAAAACAAATCTGCAACCTAACTCGATTACAAGAAAACACCTTAACCCCCCTAACCGCAAACTAGGGCTTGGCCTAGTGGTGGACATCATATGAGCAACCAAGGACTCGAACCTGAGACCACATAGGGAGCAAACCCCTTGATCCCAAGCTCTTACCACTTGGCCACCACCTAGATGGTTAAGCTATGGTACTTTTCATAGTAGGGTTAGAGGTTGACATAAAAATTTTTATCAAAATTATTCCAAGGCATTAAAACAAATCTGCAACCTAACTCCATTACAAGAAAACACCCTAACCTCCGGATGTTCTCATTTAAGCCACTACAAACATTCTTCCCAAATTAATACACAAGTTACACAAACCAAACTCAATCCTCACCTAATAACACATAAAAATATATTCTCATCAACCCTTATTATTCCAAGCCCATCCCAAACTGGCCTCTTACCTATACTCTTACTCTAAATTACATTAATCCACCAAATAAGCAACCTATCAATTCAATGAAGAATGGAGATTTAGAGGAAAGAAAAGCAAATGGATTGTGTTTATGGTGTGATGAGAAACTCATACCAAGGCATAAATACAAGAATAAAAAGCTCTACTCACTATGCATTGTTGATCATGAAAGAGACAATGAAGAAGATGCTAACCATGGGCAGGGACTGGATTATGAATAAATCACTCCCCACACTTAAATCAATTCCTTAAAAGGGATCTCAGGTTTTCACACTCGAAGAGTGACGGGGGAGGGTTGACAGACATCCACTCTTCATCATAGTGGACTCTAGCAGCACCCATAACTTCATCATTACACAAGTGGCCAACAAACTACTATGCAACCTTACGACCATCAAGCCATTGACAGTAGCAAATGGTGGGGGCAATGTGTGCATAAATTTCAGATGGAAAATACAAGGGGTTAGCTTTTTAGATAATGCATTTGTTGTGGAGCTAAAAAACTATGGTATGGTACTAGGGATACAATAGGTGGTCATGTTAGACAACATTATAACTAACTACAAAGATTTATGGTTAAGTGGGAGGGTCGGGAAGTAGGACTTAAGGGTGATAATCCTGTTAAGCTACAAACTATTAGATTCGGGCAACTTAACATCCTATTGGATAATTCAAATCAACTAGCAGAGGTCAGTTTGTGCAGTTTAAGATCATGAAAAAAGCTGAAAGGGTGTTGTATTCAGTATCTACTACTCTATCACCTTATGCTGGGATCATACCAGGACATATTCAAAGAACCAAAGGGGTTTCCCCAATCAAAGTCTCCTCGTGATCTATATGAGAGTTATTACACACTAATAAAGCCAACCTGAAATTTTATGTTAGACGAGTCTTCATCTCAGATGAATTTGATGGACTTTTGCCATAACATCTGAACTTTTTGAAGGGTCTCATTGATTCTGACACTTTACCGCTCAATGTTTCACGAGAAATGCTTCAACAACATAGCATCTTAAAAACAATCAAAAAGAGATTTATTAGAAGAACGCAGTTGATATTTTCTGTAAAACTGCTGATGAAGATCTCAATGAGGCAAATGACAAAGACAAGAAAGATGTCGGGAATTCCGGTGAATATGAGGAAAAAAAAGTCAACATGTAAAGTTCTGAAATGAGTTAAAGTTTATCAAAATGGGTATCACTGAGGATTTCGCTCAGCAAAGCTTCTGAGACCCGAAACCACCAAGTTGATGGTAAATTGACATTACTTGATCAGTACATATCATGAACGAAATATGGGCAAAAAGATATCTTATACATAATTGGACCGAACAAGGAGCAATTGGAAAGATCTCTTTACCTTGAGAGGCTGAAGACGCACGTAGGAAACTAGGTGGTACAATCTAAATTACCAGCACTTCCTTGCGAAATAGCCCCTCACCCACAAGCCATCTCACCCACAAGCCATACAGGACAGGAGGATGGTGAAACGAAAAAATCAAGCTACCACTCAAGTCCTGGTTCACTGGAAGGGTCTCTCTTCATCAGATGCCACTTAGGAGTTCGCTGATGATCTTTGTCTAAGACTTCCACAATTTCTCAAGGGCATTTTCAAGGAGGGGAAATTGTTACAGGGAGCAGAAACACAGTTGAATTAAGGAAAAAGAAGCAAAGAATCAATACTAAGCCGAGGACCTTCGACTATTGCAGCTGTTGTTTAGTTATATGCAGAGCATTTATCTTTTCCTTTTAGTTATAAGACCTGACACGAGTAGCTCAATCAGTAATGTTCGGATTCCCTAAGTTGTAGGAAGGCACTTCTGTTACTACTGCATGATTGTAAGAGAATAGAAAGAAAAAACATGGAAAAAAATTAATGAATGTTGAGGAAGGATTCGGGTGAATCATTCTCTTCTCTGTCAGCTTTATCTGCTAATCCCCTTCATCTTCTTCTTGGCTTGGTTACTAACATTTTCTCCTTCCATCACCCCTCGAGAATCTCTTGATTGGTACTCTCCGTGTTGGACTTGCTCCAGAGTATCTCCGGTCAGTTTTTTAGGTTTTATGCATGGAGACTAAATTTAAAACTTCAAGACTGACCATACCATCCACACCATGACAGATGGATTCACAAAAAGATCAATATAATATTCCAAGATTACATGAACTAATTTTACATAAACTGGGAAAAGAAAGTGACAAACAATAAGCCAAGAATGATTTGCCAACGATATATATAGTCTTCCTCACCAAGTGAGTCAGGGTCGATGTTTCTAGCTTTTTCTAAATGGTTATAAACAATCCTTAATGATCGAAGAAACACCTTCAACAGGATGCAAGCAAGAAAGCATAGAGTTGTAAAGACATACGCACAACAAATCCTTACTGCGTCTCAAGAGTGAATAAGCAAACACAATCAAGAGGCGCCTTGATTTCTCAGAGTTCGGTAGAATCCGCCACACCTTTCAGCTAAACGGGCTTTCATACAATTAACAATGCTGGAGAGACCCTAACTCCTTGTGCTGGAAGTTTCAACTGAGAGGCCTACTCAATCACCATAATTTGTTCACGTTGCGATCCCTTTCTCCCACCATCTTTTCTGAAAGTGAAGGAAATTTGGAAAGGTGATACCTGGGAAACTGCGGGGTGCATCCTTTGCTCACATGTCTGATGAGGGTGCATTTGACACAAAGACTCTATTACTTCCGCATCCTTACTCATTGACGAATCAGAGTTTCTGGAAAAGCGAGACGGCACAGGTCCAGAGCTTGATGAGCTGGTAAAGTTTCTTGAAACAGTTTCATCAGAGCTGATATGCTTATCAGGTGCAGTATTATTGGTAGTGTCAGGTTTCTTTGTGTTAAGAAAACGGCCTCCACAACCTCTTGCCCTTCTCATAGCATGTAGATGCCGGGACTCGTGAAGATAAGGCTGTGAAGCATGAGTTAAAACACTGAATGCTCGAAACATAGTCTGGAGCTACATTCACATACTGAAGAATTTTAATTCATAATCTTGCTTGAAGGAACAAATACCATTAGTTTGCCATCTAGTTGGACATTCATATACATCTGATCCTTTTGAGAGGTCACGTCCCCAATAATCGTTTCAGCAAAATCAATGATCACATAAAAGTCACCTTTCCAGGATTGAAAGTTTTAAGTCCTTGTACTTACTGTTTCACAATACGGTGCAAGTACAACATCTATAAGAACAAATATCATTAAATAGCCAGCATGACCGAGTCTTTCAATGCTCACAAAGCATTCTGAGAAACATAGGACTGGAATTCCTCCAAAAAAATTTCTCAGTGAAATAACTACTTCCACCAAATCACTTCCCTCTGAGCAGTTCATGTAACACTTACATATAATGCAAGCACAATCTACTGCCTCTCTCTCTGGAAAAAAATTGTAACTATGGAAGACTTTGAATAAATGTAATTGTCCCGTATCATATATTCTTCACTCATCATCAGGCAACGTATTCAAGTATTGAAACAATAACAAGCAACAAGTAAAAAAATCAGACCAGCACATCCTAACTTGATAAACTCTTGCATGGCCATTGAAAGAGTTACCTTTCTTGTTTTTATAAGTTTTCTTTCTAGCTCAGCCTTAGCGCGTGACTGTCTTCGCCTCAGAATGCCATGGTACTGCTTAGCATTCACATAAACAGGTTCTTCTGCCATTTCATGGGGTAACACCATTCTAGCAGGATTTGGCCCAGCATATTGAGAATGAACCTACAGCAACCCAAATGTTTGTGATCATAGTGCACCACTCAAGAAAACATTATTTCTTACTTCTCCGATGAACTGTTAAATGATGTATAACTTTTCTAGAAAAGCTTTAAGCACGACCTCCAAAAATTTTATAGCTAAAAATGTATACAATACAGCGAAAAATATTCACACTTTTACATATTTGGATCTTGTTAGCAAAATAACTTATTTAGCAGATGCATCTAATGCAACTCAAGCTACAAGGACACCTACCAAACACCAATATGTCTTGCCAAACCTTCTTTCAAAAAAGAGTAAAACAAAGCCTTCAGCAAGGAAGTAGTGTAATCTTATCAATGCTTAGTGATGTAAGCAAGCTTACCATCGTATGTTTTCTTATTTCTGCACGTAAACAGCTTCCAAGTGCTAATAATTTGCTTATAATTAGATGTGTCCATGCATGAGAGAGGCACAGAGAGAGAGAGAGAGAGAGAGAGAGATTACAATTGAGTGGCCAACAAGTTCCAGCTGGGTAGATGGACCAAGGTATACACCCATAGCTGGAATCGTTTTGGATGCAGTTTGCTGAGGATGGTGATGGTCTCCGTATTTTCCATCTGCCAGAAAAAGTAAAATCTCCATTAGTATCATAATACAAAGTATATCTTCCCTTGGAGGGCAAGGCACGAAGTCCTTACAGAATTCAATAGTTTTCATAAGCAACTACTTGAGAAAATGACAAATAAAGCAGACAAGTAACAGCTGCATGCCAAATTTAGAAGTACGATATTGCCCACTGAGTGTGAGATTTTAGTACTGCCTCAATGTTTAAACGTTCAGCAACAGAGTATCATGCAAGGCACTCTTTAACTCTATCCCATCTCACCTAAATGTAATAGAAAGATGATTGATCAACTGAATGTCATCTAAAAGTCAGTTATGTCCTTAAACTTCAGGGAGTAAGCTTACGTTTAGAATCATTCCAATAAGGTCCTTCAAACAAAATTCTAAAATCACCTGATTCTGACACTGCATTGAGTTGTTTTTCTTTATAAGCAACAGTTCCTCCATCCATTTGGACATTGCCATGTGGTTTGCTGGCCTTGGTCCCTAAACCATCATCTGTGGATTCTTGAAGAGACAAGTTTTTCGTACTTTCCCCCAAGACATTTGAGAAGATAGCATCATGCCCTATACTACACCACCAAGGTTTGGAAGGGGATGAGAGTGGATAATTGGTCGTCACAGTGCTGTCCAATGTTTTCTGCATGCTGCTTGCTAAGTAAAAACAACAATCTCCTGGACTGTTGTTCAAAATGTACAAGCAAGAGATCCCAAGTCAATACACTTTCATACGAATAGAAAAGACTCGCGAACACAAAATCAGCTGAACACATTCAAAAATAAATTGAAAGCTTCTAAAGTGTATACAAGAAGTCAGTAGCACACATATATAGCAGGAAAAAAAGAAGACTGAACATTCCAAGGGGAAAAGGCAACAACCATAATGACAACAACATTGTTGATGGAGTACATGACAAAGAGGAAAAATTAAAACTTAATGCAAGAGTCTGGAGACCCTGGCTAAAATTCTAAATAGGGAAAGCGTCAGAAAGATATGAAGGCTTAGAAACTTTACTACAATATGACCGCACATATGCATTCTACTAAGTTTAAAATGACTCTCGGGAAAAGCACAAAAATCGAACCTAGTCTTGTGTTTGAACAACTACCACTCTTCCAAGGACCAAGCAAGTCTAGACGAGACCTCAAAAAACAAGACAGCTTTGCTATGACAGACTGCTAAATTTTGCATAGCAAGAACATTGGATTTTCCTTAAATGTAGGCTTCTTGATTTAATTAATTATTTCATAAACACAAGCCCAATCTCAATTCATACTTTCATATAAACATAAAAATTAAAAAAAAAAAGCCTGAAAAATTTTTAACTCACTTTGATGAACTTGTGAACAGATCAATCACAGCTAAGAATGACCTCTTATGATCACAATTTTCACCGTTGCGTTAACACGCTTCATAAAAAATCATGAATGTCTACTACTTCAATCAAGAATTCAACTGATTCTAACTCAAGAACAAGTTCGTCAACAGAATCCCTGCGCATAACATGTTACACGAACTCATAAAACAATTTAGGTGGCGTTTGGCATGACTTCCCTTTTGAGTCAGAAATTCTGCTTAACACAGAAGTTGAAATCAAAATTTCTGTAAATTCATATCGACTAAACAGTTTGTTAACCCGTGAAAGGTGAGAATGATAGCGACTTGAAGCCTTATTTTTTCCTTTGTTTGTGTGATTCTGTTAGAAAGCATATATAAGTCAGCTTCTTAATTATTACTCAAGAGAAACTTTTTCTTTTTTGATAAATTACTCAAAAGTAACCTATCAAACTATACTCGAAGCAAAAATCTTAGAGTATATGCATTTTTAATTTGTAGTCAAACTAAATAAATAAGCTCGACAGCAAACTCGGACTTGTTTAGCAGCCAACTCATGTCTGGTTCACTCGGAGATTGAGATCATACCAGGAAGAAGGCTCTTGTTCCGATTCGAAATCAAATTCAGATTAAAGTTCTTTAAAATTAAATCAAATTAACACGTAGTTAAATCTCAAGCCTAAAAAGGGAATACATTTTTTCCTATATAAAACACTACAGTACTTCAAGATATCAATTGTTTATTTAATAATTTTACCAGCTTATCCAAAAAATTAACACACACACACAAAACCATGCAAACAGAGGAAAAAAAATATCGTACGATCAGATATTCAGACTGTTATTAAAAAAAAATCTAAAATTGCAGAAAAATGTATAGCACACAAACACCAACTTAAATACAATACATACGGATATAAAGTATAAATACATGCATGCATGCACATATATATATATATATAGAGGAACGGAGGGACGGGGGTGGGAGGGAGGGAGCGTCGTAAATATCCTCTTTTGATTGATTAATTATTTATCTTCGATCCAGGACGTCTGAGTTCTTTAAACATTTCACAAAATTGTCAACTGTCCAAAAATTGTTCAAAAAGACTAGCATGAATTAATTTCAAATTACAAAGAATAAATAGCAAAAAGAATACAAGAAATAATAAATTGGGTTGGCAGAGGTAATCATATTTTAACCTTGAAAATAAAATTAAGCAGACGTAAATCAACAGTAACGAGCACTTACTCTGAGAGTACTAGCTACAGGCTTTGTTTGGGCTCGAGAGAGTGTGATAAAAAGAAGAAATCGATTAACAAGAGCAAGAAGAGGATTAAGGTTGTGATCTGTGAATGCTTAATCACATGGAGTGAAGAGCGCGGGCGGACGAGAAAGCCAAAAATAAGGATTTATTAAGGGGAAGGGAAGGGAAGGATTTTTTTTTAAATTTAATGATGTTTGGAAGGAAGGGGAAAACGGTGACGTAAATAATGTCGCTTTCTCTTCTCCTCTTCCTCCCGCTCGATTTGGTTAACGGACAATGGGGAACCTTGTTATTTTTTCTTATGACGTCAATGTCCTTCGTCCCCTTGGAATTACGCAATCACCCTTACGTGCCGCTCCTTTTCCCTTTCTCCTCCACCACCCCGAGATATTTTGCTGTCTCTTCTACCATGGATGTCAAACCCGGGCAACTGACCTGAAAAGACCCCTAATTATTGCGTTATCGGTTAATTTAAATTATATATATACATATATTTGAGTTCTGGTAGTTTTGATAAAATTAATTAATCGGATTATATATCAACTTGTCTCTTTAATAGAGTCAATATTTTATTTTTAATTTAAAATGTAATCAAATCAAATTTAAAATTTTATTCTCGAGTTTTTCAAATTAATTTATCATAGTAGGTTTTAATAATTATGCTTTTTTCACCGTAAAGTGATTTTTTTTTCTATTTATACATATTGGCTGCAATGAATTCTTGCATGGAAATACAATAAATTCATTTTTTTAATCCAGCCTGTATAGGCACTTTAGAATAATGCGTTGCTAATATTTTGCATGTATGTATAAACAGTGCATACTATGCTTTAGGTTAGTAAGAAAATGCGTGTTTAATCATTAAAATACGTTGGTTTTGTCATTTAAAAAGAATGTCGGTTTCATCTTTGTATTTATTATACTTGTATTGGATCTTGAGAGATTTACCAGCTGGGACTTGCATTGTATAGGAAAGCATATAATATAATAAGGGCCTAATTCTTTGACTTCGTAGTTTTACAAAAAAAAAAAAAAAATGTTACGGGGGGTTTTATTGATGAAAGCAGAATCAAGATTGCGAACATCAAATTCACTAAGAAATTGGAGGGAGGGATATTCCATCCAAGTCCAAGATTAATGTTCCAGTTTTTTTTCAAATGGAGGAAGTTTTTTTTCTCTTTTTTTTTCAAACAACATCATTTTAAATAAAAAAAAATAATTGATATAAGTTAATCTCTTGACTCTCTGTTTATCTATGTAGTTGATGATGTGAGTCACGGGTTAAATTGAATTTCAAAGCTATATTCTAAAGAGCAGAGAGTGCACTTCGATTTTATAGTCTTATTGTTAGTTCGTTATTATTACATGTCAGATTAATTTTTTAATATAATAAAAAATATTGAGAGTATAACAAAACTATTTTATATTGTTATTAAAATTATTTAGCCTAAATCAATAAAAAAAAAACTTCATAGTCCAACTTATTGCCCAACCTAGATTTAAAATTTAAACTGTGTGAAAGTTTTATCAACATATATCATCCAGTTGATTTGCTCTGTTTAAAAGAAATCTAATCAATTATAAAAAAATATTTGAGGATAAAATTGCTAAAAAAAACTATGAAATTAACAAAACAAAATTACCTCAACATGATTACTTGCCTAGCTGAATTTATTACTTGCCTAGCTGAATTTATAATTAAATTGTATAGGAATTGCTTTAATATAATTTAGTTGGTTTAAAAATAACCTAATTGGTCATTTAAAAAATTTAAAAAATAAATAAATAAACTAAACTAAAAAAATAGAGTGAAATAAAAAAATAAAGTGAAGCTGCTGATCTTAACATAAATATTGAAGCTTAATAGTCCATGTTTTTATAATATAGAAGATAATTTGGGATTTTTTTTTGTAAATTTAAAAAATTTTAATTTACATTTAACTGATTAGGGGATGAATCATATTGTATATATAATAATTTTTAAAAGCATACGTCCATTATGTGGTTAAATTGTAATATATATATATAACATTTACCCTCTCGAAACCTAGTAAGAAAAATACTGCCAGCCAGCTTCAACCCTTTTTTCGAGTGCAGAGAGAAAAAAAAGGTCAAGAAAAAAAAAAGTGACGAAATTTTGATGTGGATTGTCACGAATCTACAGGTTTGTGAGCAAAAATGCATGATGATAGATTTTATCCCCGCGCGATACCACAGGTTTGTAATATGTTCATGTATCGTTGTGGATTTGTTAAAAAAATTATATAAAAAAGTTATATATAAAAAAATTATTATAATTCTTTTTTTAAAAAAATTATAAAATTAAAATTTTAATTAATTTAATATTTAAAAAATAAAATGAATAAGAAAAATTTTAAAAAAATCATAACAAAAAAATCATGTAGAGAAATATTGTAGCAATCTACAATGTTTTAAAGAAAAAAACAAAATTAAATTATCAATCAACTTAACATGAAAAAAATAAAATCAACAAAAATAAAAGAAAAAAAACTATGCAGAGAAATATTATAGCAATCTATAATGTTTTATGAGAAAATTTATAATTGTAATTTTCAATCTGCTCAATATTAAAAATAATAAAATTTTAAAAAAATCACAACAAAAAAAGTCACGTGAGGAAACATTGTAACAATTCACAATATTTAAAAAAAAACTAAGAAGCTAAATTTTCAATTATTTTAATATGAAAAAAATAAAATTGATAAAGACAATTCTGAAAAAAAAAATCATAAAAAAACCATGTAAAAAAATATTGTAGCAATCCATAGTGTTTTCAAGAAAAAAAACTGTAAAACTAAATTTTCAACTATTTTCATATTAAAAAAATAAAATCAACAAAAACAATTCTGAAAAAAATAAAAATAAAAAAGAAGAAGAAGAAGACAATTTAAAAAAAATAAAAAAAAATGTGGGAAAAGTTAAAGTTGTATTTTCAATCAGTTCAATATTAAAAAAAAAAACTCGACAAAGATAATTCAAAAAAATATATATAGGAAAACACTATCGCAAACAAAAATATATCTAGAAACATTATAACAATCCATAATATTTTAAATAAAAAACAACGAAACAAAATTTTTAGCCAGCTCGATACGAAAAATAAAATTAACAAAGATTATTTTTCTAAAAAAACAATTTATAAAAATATTATATAAAAAAATATTGTAGTAATTTATAATATTTTAAAGAAAAAAATACATAACTAAATTTTTTATCAATTTAATATTAAAAAATCAATAAAAAATATTTTAAAAAATATAAATAATTTTAAAAAAATTATAAATCCCCGAAAAAAAAATGTGGCGTAGAAAAAACTACAGTATTGTTTCTACCCCATTTAGAGTATGAGGTAATTTGTCTCCTCAATGGCCACTAAAAACAAAGACCGGGGCATATTCGTCAAAAAAACAAACCAACCAGTGACGCAGACTTATGGTTCCAGAACTTCCAGTCTCCTCTTCTAACCGTCAACTTTAAGTTTGCATGTCCTCACTCACTCAACACAATTCCGCAACGTGTCCACAACTGGCCCCACAAAAGCACGGCTAATTTGAAAATTTGGCAAGTGGGCCCCAATTAAGCACCGGATCGAACTCCACGTGGTCCACCAAGTCCACGCACACAGTTTTTTTTCCATTTTTTGATGGCGATAATTAACGTCCCACGTAACTGCACTGCGCCGTTACGCTGTCGTGGAGTTAGGCAACCGGGGAGGTAAGTGAGTGGTCCTGTTAGACGACAAGCACGGATCTCTATGACGGAGACCGTCAAATTCCACGTGTCCTCCTGGAGACACGGGGTCAATTATACGCCGTTTCTAAATCCATTAGAGAGGAGCCACGTGGTAGGCAGTGGAGGCTTTGGGAAGGTAAAAGTAGACAGCTCATTGGAGACACAAGTATTGGTTCCTCGAGTACTAAATTATGGGCTTGCAAAAAATCTGAACACCTTGCCCATGAACCATCATCATCCATTCATCTTGCATGTGGTCAGAAATCATGATAAAGATTAAAAGGTATTACATGGACCTTATTTTACGGGATCATTTCAATTCAATAAATAAAAAACTCGGTGTATGATGATGTATTTTTAAAGATTTAATAGTTATTTTTATCCTCGAAGAAATCCAAACCACCAATATAAACTACATGATTTAATATTTATATATTATCCTCGTTAATACAAGGCTTTCGTTTGGATTTCATCAAAATCTTATGAAATTGAAGTTCAGAGTGCTTTAAACCCTATCATGTCCTACGTGTGGAGTTCTGAGATATAAACACACCTGGATAATTTTCATTGAATATTTTAAGAGAGGTCCAGATGTACGTGATGTCATTAAATATTTTAATATTTGAAGTACAAGATCAGACCTTGCCATGGCAAGTGTACACGTACATTTTTTATGTGTAGGGTCTCAATTGAATAGGGACAGGGACAGGGACAGAGACGCACCTAGAAAGATACGAGAGACTGAAAATCTTGCCCCTAATGGAGCCAAGGTTGATGTCAGCACGATGCTAGAAGAGGCAGCCCATTAGGTATAAGTTTTTGCAGCTTCAAATCAAGGCAAAGGCTCATGGATCCTTAATTCGAGTATTTTATCTTATTATTTATTTGGTAGATATATAAGTTGGTACGAATACTTATAATTAAACAAAAAAAAGCTCATATTAAGCTGTTACCGCTGCCAAATACATTTGCTAATCTCAATAATTATTTGCAGCTTTTGAGCTCGGATGATCCATGGATGTGCCCCCTCTGGCCTACAATGGAATAGATATTGGCATCAGACAGAAGCTCTCTGTGCTTCTATGAGCATGAAAGGAGCTGCTGGAAACTTTCTTAATGTAAATTCACCAATGCTTCAGAAATGAGAAAAGAATTATGTGTATCTACTAATAAATAAATCTGTTTTCATTATATCACGAGGAGCATAAAATATATATATATATATATATATATATATCGATGTGCTTCTATATTATAATAATCCAGTCCGATCTGCTT